TTTCCTTTTGCTGCGAACTGGATCTCATCAAACCCCTTGTTGTTCATTTTGCGGTCATACCGTGTTTTCATCTTCTCAGACGTTTGCTGGCCCGTCTGTCTGACGTGCTCATAAATGTCATTCATTTTGTTCCGCAAGTCATTTGCATAATCGCTTATACTGCGTGGGGCATCAGGTGCTGTTCCGGTGATCAGGTCTGCAGGCAGCCGCAATTCTCTCCCAAAGTTTGCGAAAGCTGGTGTCACTGATGTACTTTCGTGAACAGCGCTTCGATATGACAACAAAAACGGTTGTATGTGCCTGTCCCAGTCTCGTTGCCGTTTTTCCACAACTTTTGCTAGGTACCTCTCCAATGTCTGATTAAATCTTTCTACCATTCCATCAGATTGTGGGTGGTAAGAAGTTGTTCGTGTTTTCTGAGTACCCATAACTCGGCAAGTTTCCTGGAATATTTGAGACTCAAAATTCCTTCCTTGATCGCTGTGAATCTCTAAAGGTACTCCAAAACGACAGAAGACTTCATGAACTAGTTTATCTGCAACTGTTGAAGCTTCTTGATTTGGAATGGCGAAGACTTCTGGCCACTTAGTGAAGTAATCCATCACTACCATGAAATACTTGTTACCACTTTCAGTTTCTGGAAACGGCCCCGCAACGTCAATGGCTATCCTCTCCCATGGTGCACCAACATTGTACAATTTCAATGCGCCTCTACTACGAATTTGAGGTCCCTTTACAGCCGCACAACTTGTACATTTGCGGCATCAGTCCTCGACATCGTCACGACAGTGGACCCAGTAAACCGTTCTCAGATCTTCAGGAGAGTTCGTTTAACTCCCATGTGGCCTCCTCAACAACCACTATGGTACAGCTGTAGAACATCCGGCACTTTAGCCTTAGGGACTTTGCAAATGACACCTATCTCCCCGAACATTTTCCCATTTACGGCACAGGATTCCATCCTGAATCAGCAAGCTGTCCCATTGGGCCCAATAGCTTTTCGTGGTCGAACTCATAGCTGAGACGTCATTCCACTTGGGCTTACGAGCACTGGCCTTCATCCATTCCAGAATCGGCTTAATGTCCGAATCTTCCTGCTGTGCATGTTGTAGGCTGTCCTTCTATTCATTGCTCAGCTGGTCTGTCCTGAATATCCTCGCAGATACCACTTCTTTACCCTCTTGCCTAGTACAATGCTTGCAATCTTCAGGGCAAGGTCTTCTTTATAATGCATTTGCATTGCCATGAGATTTCCCGCTGCGATGTTCGATCACAAAGTCGTATTCCTGTAGTAGTTCAATCCATCTCGCAACTTGTCCTTCCGGATTTTTGAACTGCAATAGCCATTTCAGTGCAGCATGGTCAGTTCGTAAGTAGAATTTCCGCCCCAGGAGATATTTGCTAAAATGCTGCAAGGACTTTACCACAGCAAGCAATTCCCGTCTTGTGACACAATAGTTCCTTTCCGGCTTGGACAACGACTTGCTGAAGTACGCTGTCACAATCTCTTGATCACCATTCCGTTGAGACAACACACCGCCAAGTCCTATATCACTTGCGTCTGTGTCATCTATGAATTCCTTGCCCGCATCAGGGTACCCCAAAATAGGTGTTTTGCACAGACGGTTCTTGAGCTCCTGGAATGCAATATCGCAACTATCATCCCAGCAGAAATGTCGCTTCTCCTCGGTTAGCTTGTGCAGAGGTTTGGCTATATCTGCAAAGTTCTTCACAAATCGCCGATAATAAGAGCACAAACCCAAAAATGCTCTAACCTGTGTCTTGTCTTTTGGAACCGGCCACTCCTTGACAGCGGCAATTTTCTCTGGATCCGTGCGACACTACATACCCCAAAAAACTAACTTGCCGTTTTAATAGTGAGCACTTCTTCGGACTCAACTTGAGGTTGGCACTCTGGATCTTTGTGAGCACACGTTCCAGGTTTTGAAGGTGTTCCTCAAATGTACGGCCTACGATGATGATGTCATCCAAATAGACCAGACAGGCATCTCCAATTAGCCCGGTAAGTACTAGCTCCATCAACCTTTCAAACGTTGCTGGAGCATTGCACAATCCAAACGGCATGACTTTAAATTGCCACAGACCCTTTCCCGTGGAGAATGCAGTTTTCTCCTTGTCCTTAGGGTCAATTTCAACCTGCCAGTAGCCACTTTTCAGATCCAGCGTACTAAACCACTTTACGCCTGTAAGCATGTCCAGCGTGTCATCAATTCTTGGCAAGGGATAGCTGTCCTTCTTCGTAACGTCGTTCAGGCGGCGGTAGTCAACACAAAACCGCATGCTGCCGTCCTTCTTCTTTACCAGCACGACAGGTAAACACCATGGACTAGATGAAGGTTCAATAACACCATCCTTCACCATTCCCTCAATCATGGTTTCCACTTCCTTTTCACGTGCTACAGGCAATCTTCTTGGACGCTGACGAATAGGCAATTCTTGTCCTGTGTTTATTTTGTGTTGAACTAAGCCAGTCTTTCCTATGTCAGCTTCATTTGACGAGAAAACATTGGCGTACTAGAGTAACAACTTCTTCGCCTTGACCATTTCATTCGGGGAAAGAACGCTGCGACAGTCTTCTAAAAGTGTGGTTACTCTCGTTTGTCCATCCTTGCTGGGGGTCCCGGTCGATAGATATTCGCACCGACGCAACCAATCCACTTCCTCACTAGTACCAACCAATGTGCCTTTTTCTATAATCTGTTCCTGATCACAAAGGTTCAACACACGTACTCCTGAGATGTCGGTGGTTCTGACCAAGGTTCGAGCCACTTTCCATGGAAGGTCATTGTCTACCCTTTCCACGAGTACACAACGATGAGCTTGCCCAGGACTCCGAGGAAGACTAACCGGCACAATCGTTTCCGATCTCGGCGGAAGAACAATCTTCTTAAGGCTGTACACATTTCCTGGTAACACCCCTTCCACGAAAAGTTTCTCTTGTCCACATTTCAAAACACCTTGCTTAACGTCGATCTCACAACAATTCTTCCTCATAAAGTCTAGGCCCAGGATGCAGTCGTCCATTATATCAGCCACGATGACATTATGCAGGTAGATCATGTTGCCTAGCTTCAACTCCATCTCCTTCTCTCTACGGACGGGTATGCGCTGACCGGTGGCTGTCACCAAATTAATGCGTTCTCGGTCGTATGCGGAGTCCCCAAGGAACTGAATTATAAGTTGGGAACAGACAACCGTGCGAGAGGCTCCAGTGTCTATGGTCAGTTTACACGGCGTTCCGTTGACCTCACCCTTGATGATTAGGCTGTTCCCATCAAGGGTTTGTGAGATCGAAATCCTTGGGGCTCTTTGAACATCAGCCAGCACCCGCCCCGCAGTCCTGGCTTTTACTCGTTTCCCTGCTGCTGCTGGGCGGTGCTATTAGCCGCACTACCCTCTCGATATTGATCACCTTCCCTTTCTACAGTTCGCTTAAGGCAGCTGGATCGATCACTCACCTTCGATTTGCCGACGATATAGTCCTTATGGCAGAATCGCTGAAGGACCTAAGCACTATACTCAATGATCTCAATAGTGTTTACTAACGGATAGGTCTTAAGATGAACATGGACAAAATAAAGATCATGTTTAATGTCCATGTCACACCTATGCCGGTAGTTGTTGGGAGAACTAAGCTCGAAGTTGTTGACGAGTATGTTTCATCATCATCATTACAGCCTTTCATAAGTCCACTGCTGAACTTAGGCCTCCCCCAAGGAATGCAACAAAGCACGGTCCTGAGCCACCTGCATCCATCGACTTCCTGCATGTCTTACCAGGTTGTCACTCCATCTAGTGGGGGGACACTTCGCCTACCGGTACGAGGCTTTCGGAAATGACGGCACATCTTCTCGTCAGGTATACCTCAAAACTTGAAAACGAGACTGTACAACCAGTGCGTGTTGCCAGTGATGATCTATGGAATTAAGACGTGGTCCTTCACTGCTGGCCGGATGAGGAAGCTCAAGTTCGCTCAGCGAGCTATGGAGAGGGCTATGCTCGGAGTTTCTCTGCGTGATAAACTTAGAAATGAGGATATCCGCAGTAGAACCAGAGTGACCGTCATAGCCCAACGGCTTAGTAAGCTGAAGTGGCAATGGGTCGGCCATATAGCTCGAAGAACCGACAACCGATGGGGAAAAAATGTTCTCGAGTGGCGGCTTCGTACCGGTGGACGAAGTGTATGGCGTCCCCCCACTAGATGGAGTGACGACTTGGTAAGATATGCAGGAAGTCGATGGATGCAGGTGGCTTAGGACCGTGCCTTGTGACATTCTTTGGGGGAGGCTTATGTTCAGCAGTGGACTTGTGACGGGCTGTAATAATGATAATGATGATTCATATAACATGTTCCCGGGAATAAGCTCACTTAAAAAAGGAGGATTTATTTTCTTGTTGTGTGAGCAAGTCTATCGATTCAATATAAACAAGATAAATATCGATATTAATTTTGATATAGTTGAGTCAATCCCTAGTGTACGTGTGAAATATTTTGTATAAAAAATATTTTAATTAAATTCATGCCAATTATCAAACACCGTGACTTTTTTTCTTTGCAAAATATCAAAATTAAGAAAATAGTTGAACACATTGTATATTTTTTATTGGCACTTATGGCGTTAATGTAAGCACATTAATTTATATATTCATATTAATGTTTTATTTATTAACTATAAAATATAATGTGAATTTTACTGTCAGAATATATTATTATTATTATATTATAAAATAATAGCAATATGCATGTTTTTTATGGAAAAGAGAATCTGCATAAACTGAAACGGAGCCTATTCTCGACCTTGATTGACATTGGTTTGACAGATTCAGATAACTTCTGTTTCTTTAAATTTTCTTTACTGATAAAACTTTGCTGTTCGAAGTGTTGACCTCGTGAACTATAGTATCACACTTATATTATTAATAGACTGCATACAGAAAACTCGTCTCGTTGTCTAGAATATTCTTTCATTCATAAAAAAATGTTAAACGTTGTAACAGTCAACACAAACCCCTATGAAGGACAGAAGCCGGGCACCAGTGGTTTGAGAAAGAAGGTGAAGGTTTTCCTTCAAGAAAACTACACTGAAAACTTTATTCAAAGTATATTGGATGCAAATAAGGATTCCATAGTTGGGAGTACTTTGGTAGTTGGTGGTGATGGCAGATATCTCGTCAAGGAGGTGGTCCATAAAATTATAAAAATTTGCGGTGCTAATGGAGTAAGTATTTGAGTCATTTGTATATAATTTAAGGAAAACGAAGTAATTATGAATTTATATATTTTTCATATAATTCTATATTTGTTTCTTTTTCCCATTTGTAATATTTTGCTAACAAATTCTCAGCCAAAATATAAATAGCATTCAATTTATACTATTCTATTTAATAAATATTAGCTGACAATTTGTAGTCATTTGTAGACAAAGTGATCAATCTATTACAAATTAAATGTCTGCTATATTACAGTAGTAATATTATTTTTTATTATTATTATAAAATAATTTATGTTAATTATTATTATAATTTTTTTTCTTAATTAAAAAAATACAAACATTTACTACACAGTACAAACAGAACTCATTAAAATACAAACAATTACAATGTAACTAAATCATAAAATAACCATAGATCGGTAGGGATAATCTGTAAAATATCTAGGTCTAGGTCTAGACCCACGATGGATGGCAGTTTCAAAGGTATGATAAATCTGGTACTGAGATTGTCAACAAGGCAACAACGTATGTCAAAAATCTGAATACCAATGTGTTTTTAAATGGGCAAGAACTGAGCCCTATAGAATCCTATGTTTTTCTTGGCATCACTCTTGACAAGAAGTATCGGTGGGGCCCCTTTATATCCAAACTAGTAAGCAGACTTAGCCCTGCAACTTATGCTGTAAAAAGATTAGAGATCTCACTAGTGTCGAGACTGCTAGATTAGTTTATTTCAGTTATTGCCATAGCATAATGTCTTATGGGATTTTGCTATGGAGAAATGCAGCAGATTTAGAAACTATTTTTGTGTTGCAGAGGAGTGCCATAAAAGCTTTTTACAACCTTAAACCGAGAGAGTCTCTTAGAGAAAAATTCAAAGAAATAAATATATTAACTTTGGCCTCTCAGTATATTTACGAAAATTTAATGTATGTTCATAAAAACAAAGATAGTTTTAGTAAAAAAAGTGATATACACTCTGTAAACAATAGGAACAAACACAAGCTAGTGATACCAGTCTCTCGACTCTACAGAGTCAGTAATTCATTCTTGGGGCAATGTATACGCTATTACAAGAAAGTCCCGGATTTTATACTAGGTCTCTCTATTACCAAGTTATTATAATATAAATGAATACAGGGGTTTGAGGATGGGAATGAGGTGGTCGCTTTCAAGCTGTTTCAAAAATAAATTTTGTAAATAGTTTGTAATCATTTATATTGTAAAATTTATTGAAAAAAAGTCCCACTGGGTTTCTTGCTGGTTCTTCCCAGGACAGAGGATTTTTTCGAACCAGTGGTAATGTAAATAAATGACTTTCAATAATAATTACTTGTAATCAATATTCAATAAAAATTATTCTAATCTATTGTATTCTATCAATTCTCCTATCAAGCATGACATCAAGAAAATCTTACAATGGGAGAGGCCCATGTTCAGCAGTGGACTTTTACAGGTTAATGAAGAAGTAGAGACAATCTGTAAAAGAATATTGGATATTTAGAACACTTTTTTATTTAAAAAATTTTATGAAATTGAAGTGACCAATGAACTTACAGTCCACTTGTAAGTGACTATTGTAGCCCATGGACAACTACAACCATCTTTCAATAAAAAAGGCTGCAGATGAGTTTGTCATCTCTAAAAACTTAAATGGTACACCACACAAGTCTGTAATTATAATGGCTCTCTAAACCCTACAGGCCTGAACACAGCAGTGTATGTACTGCTGTTTGTCGGCAGATATAAGTGAGAGGGTAGTTCCTACTCAGATGGAAACCTAGGCAGAAAAGTAGTCCTACCATCTCGGAAATATGCACTAAGCCTTTTTTTAAAGTGACAACTCATTAATATAAATATTAATTTTATCCATTTATTTATTCTTTATTGCATTCCTTAAAACAAAAAGAGTATAAAGGGTGGACATAATGCATTGAGGCATTCTCTAACAATCATATTCTATAAAATCTATTTCATTTTCCACATTGTAAGTTACACTTTGTCACTGTGTCAGCAAAATCTCACAAAAGGAGATAAATGGCCACAAGCATCTCGGAAGAAATGGGTGTATGACAAGTGATAAAACACCTGACTTCTTCTGATATTCTTAGATGAATAGTGCCATCCATTATGATATGAGTATAATGATATGTGATATCATGATATAGTGATTATATATATATATATATATATGAATTTAAACGGTACATACATCAAAATATAAGGCTGGTATGCAGAGACAATCTTGAGATTAAACTCAAACTCTGTTACCATTACAGCCTCTCAAAAGTTCTGTGTTGAACATAGGCCCCATGCTTTGTAGATAAGTTGGCAACTACTGTTTTCTTTTTTTTGGCTGTTATTAGGAAAATACCTGCTGGCCTTTTTCTGGTTTGTTCTGTCGCCGCTTATGACATACACTGCATCTACATGGTTTACAAATTACACAATATAAAATTTTTAATCTGGACTATATTTTTAGGACTAACTTATTTTCAACAATGGTCACTGCCGTGACTCAAGATTTGCTTGTTTCATTCTCCAACACCTTACATCCTAATACCAATTTTTACACTTTATATAAAAGTCCAGTTTCAACAGTGGTAGAGCCACGTGGCGGCTTTTGCTGTCACACAGATGGGCCGGCTCGAACCGGGGTGGTACCACGACCTCACAGAATACCAGCGTGAAGTAGAGGTTTACGTTTGCGTTTCGCTTGGTGAGTGCAGGTGGCCGGAGGCCCTTTTTACTGGAAATGAGGCATTCCATCTTAGACCTTACGGGTGACAACGCAACTGCATTTTGATTTGTAATAGAGGATAGATGTAGATGTCTATGGGCCGCAGCAACCACTTACCATCAGGTGGACTGTGTGCACGTTTGTCACCCTTATCCTATATAAAAAAAAGTCCTGCTGTGTGTCTTGCTGCTTCTTCCCAGGACATAGAATTTTTGTTCAAACTAGTATTAAAAGTAAAATACTACTTTCAATAAGTATTATTTATAAATGTAATGTATATAAAAATATCTTATTTTATTCTAATTTGTTTGATAGGTTGCCAAATTGCTCATTGGTCAAAATGGTATCCTATCTACTCCAGCTGTTTCTTGTATAATAAGAAAATACAAAACACTTGGTAAGTAATGCAATTGCTTTTTCGTTTATTCATTTTCTGTCATTACAGTCTATCAAAACCACTGCTGGCTTAACCTCATATATTTGCCATTGTTGCCACAAATGGAAAATATTCTATTTCTATTTCATTAAGTTACTACTAAATATTTTAGTAACTTTTTTTTAGTTACTACTAACTTTTTAATAATATATTTATATATAGTTTATAAACTTTTGTCAACTTATCACATTAATATCCACTTATAAGTTGGTTGGCTTTTTTAAATTACAGATCTGTCTTGGTGAGTAAGCAAGTAGGGGATGGTTACTTTTTTTTGCTGCAGAATTGCCTTGCATCTAGGTAATAGTAATAATTTATTTCAAGAAACTGCAATTAATTAAATAATGTCTAAATTAAAAATATTCTACAATAACAGGCACCTGAACTTGGATAATCCTGTATTTCAGGTGTATGTGCTGATAACATATCAACTAATTAGGGTTATATCCGTAAAATATATTATCATTAATTTACTTATGATTTTAATTAACTTAAAACAATCAGCAACTTTTCCGTATCATCGTAAGTTTTGTAACCATATCTGAATTACATTTTTACAATCTGCCATTTTTAATAAATTGCATTGACTTGATTGTACAGAAAAGGGCCGAGGAATGTAAAAAATCTTTGCATGAAAGAATGCCTTATTCTAATGTTAGTTTCAATGACTTTATCTTTGCGTCTTTTATCAGTGACCTCTCTTCTATAGGGAAATTTTAAGTGCTGTTTTAGTAACGTACTCATAACGAATAACTGGCGCACTGAAAGGACATTATAGGATTTATATAAGAGATGGGATGGGAATAGGATAGGGCGGAATGTTGCGACTTTTAATACAGTTCTTTGAGCGCGTTTCAGTAGCAGCAGTTTAGTTTTAGCTGCTCCTCCCCATGAGGTTATACAATAGGTGAGAATTGATTGACATGGTGCGAAATATACTTGTTTTACTACTACCTTAATATCAACAAACAAAGGAATCTTTTTGAAAACAAACATTAGTTTACGGACTCTATTGCAGAGGTGGTCTATGTGGTTTTTAAATGTAAGAGTAGAATCTATAATTATTCCAAGGTATTTAATAGTTTTTGTATTAAAAATAACTGGGCAGTTAAATTTAGACTGCGACTGAGCAACATTTATGTGCATTAATTTCTGGAATGGTTCTATGCTGTATTGGGCTGCGCATAGAAAAATGAATATATTTGGTTTAGTCCGTATTCAATGTTAATATGTTTTGTTGGAGCAATTTATTAACCTTGTCAAAACCTTGCTGTGCACATAAATAAACGTTGTATAGTGTATTTGCGGAAAAAAGGAGCACGGTATCATCTGCGTAAGATATTATTTTACCAGAGTTAAGTTCAAGACTGCAAAGGTCATTTATATATACGAGTATCAAAAACAGGGTTGGCCCTAATACACTTCCTTGAGGCACGCCAAAATGAGTATTTTTTTGTTCAGAGCTAATAACCTTTTCAATTTTTATGCATTGATATATAAATATAAATAATTACTAGTAAATAGTTCACAAAAAGTTGCAGCTGTTTACCTCGAATAGCTATGCTCTCTAGTTTATTTAATAGGATGGCAATAGAAACTGTATCAAAAGCTCTTGCTAGGTCAAGGAAAATGCCAATTGATTGGTTGCCTTTATCTAATTCTTGAGAGACATAATTAGTCATTACCTGAACAGCATCAGCAGTGGACAGTTTTGATCTGAAACCATATTGCATATTCGATAATATGGATTTACTTTGTAAATAATTCACTAATCTATTGTTAATTAATTTTTTTAATATTTTAGATGTAGATGAGAGTATTGAGATGAGCCGATAATTGGAAAAGTTTTTTGTCCCCCGATTTATATATTGGAACTACATTGGCTTTTTTAAACCATCAGTGAAAATTCATTCAGAGGCAAATTCAAAAAATATGAGTTAAAGATGGTAATAGAATTTGTCAAAATTTTCTTAATATACTAGTGGGTATGCCATCGCTTGTTTCTTTTAGTCCCATTATAATACTTTCTACCTCAGTAGTGTCTACTATTATCATCTGGTTTTAAAGCTAAGTGAGTCGATTTCCCATTAATGTGTTTATATGAGGGTTTTAAGGCAGAAAGAGTTGTAGAGTCGACCCCCACTTCCCCGCCCCTGCCGGATGCGCTTAGTTTAAATTATAAATTTTTAAAAATCTGAAAAATTGTGGTTATATTTTCGTAATGTTTTTGACAATATAAACCTGATTTATGGGGGGAGAGAGTTGGGGGAGGGAAGCCCCACGCCTTCTAACCTGACCTGTCCGAGTCGGGGTGTCCCAAGTCTTGAGCTCGCTTCGCTCGCGCTTGCACTCAATAAAACACCAAAATATTAACTTTTATAATTACTTTAATTAATAAACATAATTTATAGCTGCAACCATTTGTAAAAAAGGATCTTTGCGAAAATAGACTGATACGCTTTCATACATTCTTGGGCCCAGATTGTAAAAAGATGAATGTTGTGTCAATTAATAGCTTATGTATTATCAAAACATTACTGAAAATTCTGCGGACTTTGACAATCTGAGAGCATAGTTATAAGAGATTTAGTAAAAGCGAGGTTATGCAACAAGTTGGCAACAACCTGTTACTAAACAGCTGATTTTTGAAAAGCGATTGCTATTGTGGAAGGATCGTGGGCCTAGTGTATTACAGCGACATAGCGACTATGCTATTCAGTCAATATTTAATCGATAAAATCCAGGCAGTAAAATCCACAATAACGAGCCAAAGTCAAAAGAGTAAACAATATTTTCGGTGTTTGGTATGATAGCAAGGGTCGTACAACTAAGATCAGAAGTCCGTAGAAAGAAAGCAGTGGTCGAGGAATATAAATAAATAAAACAAAGGGAAACACACTCAAAACGCACACGTAATAAACGATACGAGATATATACAGTAATCTATGGATACGATATGAGTGATCATAGATTGAATCAGGCAGGAGCTGTCACTATCAGCACAGATTAAAAATACAGTTGACAAACAAAAGTAATAAATCGAACTGTATAGGTGAATCGATTTTAAGATTTATTTTTACTATGTTGATATTTTATTTTTAAACTGTTTGACACTATGTTAATATATTGTGATGTATCTATTTACTTGATTGAATCAATCATCTGGTGTAAGTTGTTTTTATGTTTAATCGTTAAAACTCATTCACATTCATCGATTAAAGTAATCGATTTCTTATTTTATTCGTATCTTATTTTTAAGATTTCTTGTCTTTCAGATTGTAGATTGGGCAATGTTTTTATATTTTGAAATAGAAAAATATAACACTTTTTTTTAAACCATATTTCAACTTATTACAATTGGGCCCAGAAATCCCCGTCTCCACAGCAGTGTTCCGCCGCCACAAATAGTCCACTATGGCATCACCAAAATTCTCTGGATGATTATAATTGTCTTTATTGAGAAATGACCGGGAACTCGGGGCCATATCTTTTACTTCTTGGCTCATCGTGCGAACTAAGGGGTGGTAGATTTTACGCCGCTACCATACGGCGATTTGGTCGATACCATTTATCGACCAAATCGGCGATACATTAAAAATGGGCCAGATTAGGAGTACCCTTAACCGGTGAGCGTGTATGCGTAGATATATGGATGTAAAGGAGGCGAAAGAGGTGTATTAGGATCGCGCCAAATGGAAGTCCGTAGTCTCTGCCTACCCCTCTGGGTGACAGGCGTGAGTGTTTGTGTTGTTCAAGAAATCGTTTCACGGCTCTCCATTGTGATTCTATTCTTTGTGTATGAGTCCCATCTGGAGCCACGAATGGATTGTCAGGTTCACTTTTTTGTGGGTGTACCCATGTTCCTCTAGGCAGTCATATGCTCTCCGAATATCGGTATGAATTGTGGTGCCTATCTCTATATGTTTTTTTTAAGGGCACCTAAACCTCAGCGGAACGTATGTTGTCAGGGCACACCTCTAATCGCAGATCTTCAGACCCATCCTTAATCATTCCAAGGACCCAATGGCCCTCAATATGGCGTTCTACAACATACATAATTTGCTTAAATTACAGTAATTAGAAGTTTAATAGAACAAATAGAACGAGATAAATCAAAATTACATTTTTGTTGTACTTGCGTGTCCTAAATTTTGACTCATCGATCTGCACAACTTTTCCTGGGCCTCCAATTTTTCCACTGTGCTTAATTTTTTCCAAATATTAAATAAATATGCATTCCCGACAATAACTGAACCAATCAACAATTGTGGTTCTGCCCAAACAGTACTCTCTTACTTGTACGGATCCTCGTTTATCGTCATTTCGTAGCTCCATTTGTGAGCAAAAGCATATATTGAATAAAATATGTGCACCAACGGAATATGAATATGTTCAAAAAATGTTCCAGCTGTCCGTGATATTTTTCCTTTTAGCTTTTCGTGCAAATCCAAGCATAAAACTATTTGTTAGCCAATTTTGCCAGTAGCATGAGAGTGCACCATTCCATTTGCTTCAGCAAAAGCAACACTGTTCATGGGTCCCAAGTTGTTTGATAATTTTTGATAAATTCCACATTTTAACCACTTCCTCCGAATTTAAACGTCGATCAACAAACGGCCTGTCATCCACGAAGAAACGAAGAAATCGTGATGAGGAACTGTCAACTCAGTCACAGTTCTACGCAACCCTGAGCTCGTAGACGCCCGAGTTTCGAATCTCGGTCGATTGCCGAAATAGCTTGCTTATCGGTGTCCAGTGAGTAAGTCAAAGTCGTCCAGAGATGCAATCCAATCGGTGTCTAAAGGCGTAGCCAAGTCGTCGAAAAATAGCAAGCAATGTGTCCAGAGGGGTAGCCAAGTCGTCGAAAAATAGCAAGCAAGGTGTCCAGAGGGATAGCCAAGTCGTCGATTAAAATAGCAAGCAAGGTGTCAAAAGCGGTAGCCAAGTCGTCGATTAAAATA